GAATCAAGTGAATATATACAAATGGAAACCTTTCTTTTATTCAGAAAATATAAGCAGCTAATAACTAATGTGATTGTCAACAAAAACCTTTTAACTTGATTACTTGCATATAATTTCTTGGCAATATAAAAGTTACATGTGGACATTAAATTTAACATGTAATGTCGATCCTGACAATAATAGTTATGTTAGAAAAGTTTTAATATAAGAGTGCGATATTTATGGTTTAAATAATTTTTGATTCTTAATTGGAAGTTTAGTCATTTTTTATTGATCATCACAAAGTTCTTGACTACAACCTTCTTTGTTTGATGTCAATGGATTTTCTGTTGCTACACCATGTCACAGAGCACACCCTGACTAAATCCTTGTAACCACTGGTTCCCTCATCCCACAAGTATTATACAGTACATACATGGTGATTTTTATACAGTGAATTGAGTACATATAAAAATAAAAATATATATTTTTGTTTTTATATGTACTCAAGTAAAAATAAAAATATATATTTTTATTTTTACTTTTTTTATTATATATATAAATGAAAACTTGATGATGTCGCTGTATCCTTTACCAGCTCACAAAAGAAACTATTGTACTTTTTATTGAAACACAGCAAGATAATTCCTTTATGTAAACTAGCAGACAAGTAGAATTCATTGGTCATTCTTTATTTCTAGATTTAAAGTTCATTTGTTTTATTTTACAATTACAGAGAATGAATGCATCATTACCATTTACTCTCTACTTGTAATGTCAAGTTCTTCTGTTAGTGATTTTTTAGAATGTTTTTTGTAAAGTATCTTTAATATGTTATGAAGAATAAGTCAACTTGACCAACTTTAAAGGTCTCTGCAGACAGCTGTAAATAGAAATACTTTATGATCACTTAGTATATAAATTCTAAAATTTTAAATTCAAGATCCTGTTGCTAGTATTGTAAAACTGTTCTCTAATAAAGTTTTATGTTTAGAATGAGTTAAGGCTGTATCTGATGGCTTCAAAATACACTGTTTTGAAATGAATTTTGTTTCATGTTTGGTTTTTTATTAACTATAAAATCTTTTGTTTATTTCATATATTAAGTATTAATGTTCATTATTATTATTAACTATATTTTAATGAAAACTGTATTTGTTACAAGCATACAAGATGATTGAATCTATTATTTTGCATAACTTAATTTAGAAAGAATTATCCATTATATTCTTCACTTATGGGATTTTATTTTGTATAACTCTGCACAAATAACTATATTTACTTGCAAGGACCACCTTCAACATGTTATGAACAAATTGTAATAAAGTAATTCATATAGCAGTAAGATTTACTTTGTATTAGTGTTTACTATTATATTCATTATTTTGATATATGAACAAAGAGAATAATCTGAAATGGGAAATTCTCTTTGATGAAGAAGAAAAATGTGAGAATTTTGCTATAAGAGAAGTTTGCAGATATATTTGTACCTGAGCATTACTAAGCAACAGATATTTCCTTACAAATTCAAAGAATTTATATAATTAGGCAAATTCTTTTGTACATAAACAGTGAAATTCTGTTGTGCTATAATTTTGATATTAAAGATGGTTAAAATTAGTGTTTTTTTAGTTTTTTGAAATTTGCTATAATTTTTAATGATACTATGTAAACAGTTTTAAAAAATTATTTTCATATTTATCAAAGTTGATAATATTGAAGGAAGATAAATGCTAATTTTAATTATCTATGATGATTCTTTATATCAAAGTTATTGTATACCAATAATACAATTTTACTGTGTAGAAAAACTCTCTTAGAATTATAATTAGGAATTTGTAGAGAAGTACTGTATATGCTGATAAAGTTGATTTTTTTTTAAGCCTGAAAAAAAAAATCTTTCCAAAACTAAGGATTAACTTACATAGTGGATTTAAAATGAATATTGTTTAACAAGTTGAACAGTGTTCATAATAATCATTGTACACCATTTACCATAACCTCAGCAGACTTTTACAAACATTTTTGACTAAAATTTGTGTTTGGTGAAATTATTTGACCTATTTAACATAGAGATTAATGTAATAAGAAAACTTCAGTGTAAATGAACTGTCTTACATGAATATAATGTACTGTCAATATCTGAATGTAAACAAAGGCATACTACATTTATATCATCATATACTGTATGTAGTGGCACTATCATGAATCTTTGCTGTATAAATTAATACTCTATATTATTAGAAGTATTATTTTTGGTTTTAATGTGCTGATTGGTAGACGTGATGCAGGCTGTAATAGTTCTTACTCAAAATATTTACTTAATATTTTTAGTGGTTGCTTAGTGTCCTACTTAGATCAGTTGCCCACATTCCTTTTTTTGTATGAGCCATACATTATACAGAGTAGTTATATCAAACATAAAGGTATTAGTTAGTATTCTGATGATGAAAGTGGTGTGGTTTTATTATATGCTGTACACCTTATCAACATTGGATCTCTTCTATTGCCAGCTTACTGCATGTTGATTGACCTTACAAGGAAGGTATAAGTCTATACTGGTGACTGCATTCATGAATATATTGTAATATATGACATAGTAACTCTCCAATATCACAATGTTTCCAGAAACTAATAATAATTTATATTTCATATTCACAAAACATGTAGCATTTATGACAAAACAGAAGAAACTGGTAATGACAATGAATCATATGACATCACTAGTGACTGCTTTCATTTTAATAGAGCCAATTGGAACATATTTCTTAATGTTGTTTTTTCAGAATTTTCTCACTTTACACGTTTGCAATGTCCAAAGAAGTAACTCAATTTTGTTAGAATTTAAATGCTTCATAAGTGACGTGAAGAAGAAAAGCAATAGAAATAATAAAATATAAAAGAAAACTGTGTCCAAAATTGATATGGAAGTTTTATTAATAGAAATATCAAAGTTTGAAAGAATTTGAGAAAATAATAGCTTTTTGGTTTAAAGAAGAGATAACTTTGAATTGTGCAAAAAAATCTCATTCTTTATAACAGTCCATTGTGAGGAATTCTATCAATTTTTTCCAGCATTCAATGACATCTTAGAAGTTGAGTAAGAAATATTTTAAAACACAATCAAGAATAACTATCAATTATATTAGTTACTGATGGAGCCAAGTATTTGGACACTATCTTTCCTAGTACATTGACTTATGAGAACTATTAGATATCATGGTATTTATGAGACTTTTTTCAATGTTTTAAGTAATGATGTGCTTTGTGAATGAGAGACTTTTTGTTTGTGGCAATTTACAAGGAAATTTGATGTAACTTAAAATATGAGATATTTGTGAATCTGGTTCCAGAATTTTAAGGTGACACTCTTGAGGACAACTTATATACCAGTATGTATGTACCAGTACTCATTTTTGAAGATTACAGATATACTTTAAATTTCTATGACAATGGAATGCTCATTGTTTAGTTTTCCAACACCAAAATATAGTATTCTATTTCAGATTCTTATGTTTGTTTTAAATATCAAGTGCTAATATTAAACCAGATAATAAATTTTATTGATATATTGGAATTATATTTTATGGTAATTTGTTCTTAACAAGTTGAGGAGCAATTCATGTCAATCTAAAATAGAATTTTATGGAGTGAGCAGATTATTCTCTGAAGATCTGATCTTATCTAAAATATCTGTTTTTGATATTTTGGAAATAATTAAATCATTCAAATAATAGTAAATCCTTTACGATAAGGTATTAGTTTCTTTGTATAGGAGTTTGAAAACTTGAAAACTTCATATAATGATAAGACAAAAGTTTTCAAACTCCTATACAAAGAAACTAATATCTTATCATTAAGGATTTACTATTATTTGAATGATTTAATTATTTCCAAAATATCAAAAACAAACAGATCTTCTAGATAAGATCAGATCTTAAGAGAATGATCTGCTCACTCCATAAAATTCTATTTAGATTGACATGCAATTGATTTAGATACAATGATTATACCATAATTTTCTGTGCAATTTACATAATTCACATCAGTGTATGTCTCACAGAAAAATTTCTAAAACAAAAATTAAACTATCACACAGCTTGCATTGCTATACATCCCATGCCTACAAGATTGCCATTGAAAACATGTCACTTGTATGTGGTTTAGAAGATATCATTTCAGCTGTTTTTCTCCTCCCTCTTTTTCTTATATTTCCACTAGTACTTCATTGTAGATGTATTCATACTTTTCTACACTGGAAAAAGTTTTTACAGTATTTTATAGTAAAAATAATGAAATAATAATTTTTTTTTGTTATTGGACTTAATTTTTCAACACTATGAAGATTATCTCTTAAATGTTTTTTAAAGTGATATTTTAGGATTCACTAACATATAAATGGCAGGTCTTTTTATAAATTATATTACAGAAGAAGAAAACTTATTTTTTTTCTGGATCATAGTTTAATTTTAAATTCATTAATTGTATTTATAATTTAGATACTTATTCAAACAAATTTGCCAGATTCTAATCAGATATCTATACAATGTCGCTAATAAACTATTAATGATTTAAGTAATTTGGCTATAGGTAGGCAGTTAAGTTGCCATCTCATGTTAAATTCAGTAATTAGAAATAAATAAAATTTAATATAAAATATTCTGGAAGAAAAGATCAGCATGGAGTGGGATCTAACCCATAACTCCTGCCAACTATGCAGATTCATTGCCTGTTACACTACCTAGACCTCTGATTTTTGCTTCCAGATTTTTTATTTTGAATAATTAAATTAAGTATTAGTTGTTTATATGTTGTTTGATATTTACATAATCTTTTTTCAGATTTATAATTGAATTATGATATGGATAATTTATTTAATTATTATGAAAGTCTATGAATCCAGATATAATTTTTGTGAATATTAGTAAAATAATAATAATTTTGAATTTATGAATCAATGTTCATACATAGCATAGAAGTGTATCCAAAAAATTATTAATTAAAATTTTTTAATTATGTAGCGATGGCAGAGGAGGTGGTTTGTTTTATATGATGATGGTGAACTTACATATTCAGTGGATGAACATGTAAGTATTATAATTTTTTTGTTAAGTAAATATTTTATCTTAAACATCTCAGTCAAATAAACATCTAGATTAAAATTTAAGAATTTAATTGAAGCAATTTATTTATAATATAACAATTACTTATTTGATATCATATTATAAAAAGATTAATAAATACATATATTAATTTAGTTGTAATTCAGTTAATTTGCAAAATAGAAAATTATTTACAAATGAATATAAATATTTTATTTGTATATTTACAAAAAAATCATAAATCTGAAAATGAATGGTGGAAAAAGAGTGCATAGTAAAAATAATATTTTTAATGAAATAATTATTTCATTGTAAAGCAGTATGATAGCATTATTATTATGTAGAATAGAATTAAAAATTCTTACATAAATTTAATTCTCAACATAATAAATTGTAATACTTATTTAGAAACATTATGTTCTTGTTTTGAAGAAATAAATTAATTTATGTATTATATATGAATACAGTAATGATATTTTAAAGAAAATTATAATATCACTACTCTATATTAAACTTATAAAACAAATTTATAATTTTTGAGAAATAAGACATTGGCTAAAACAGTTTAAATCATTATTTTAAGATTTTAATGAATTCAAAATATCCAAATTTGACTTAAAAATATACTAGTTTAATTTTAATGATTTAAAGTAATGTATTAAACTTCTGTCAAAAAACTACATGCATGATCATTTTGTTGTAATGTTCTAACTCTATTGATCTGTCACATGCTATTTTTTAATGTAGAGTTGGTATCTTTATAATCAATCTGGTAAATTAATGTATTCAGAGCCATGCCAAACACTGAGTGTCCTCATGCTTTTTTAAATGAGACAAAAATTGATGACAAAAATGAAAATTGACATCACAAATAAAAATGTAATATATATACAGTATTTTTATTAAAAAAATATTTATTAATATAAAATAAATCTTATTTTAGAAAGCTTGAAACCATTTTCATAATTTCCAACATCTCTATTTAAGGAAGACAAATTTTTAATCTTATTGAGAAATGTTGTTTATTATTCTATAGCCATTTTCCATTTTGACACACCATAGTCATATTCACACTTTTTAAGTAAACTATGAATTTACATACACAGAATAAAGGAAAATAATAATAATAATTAACAAATTTATTTAATTTAACAAACTTAAGTTTACATGCCATATTTTTTCAAATTGATTTATTAGTACTTCAATGTCTTTTTCAGTAACTTTGATTGTATTGAAAGAATAGTAAGATTATGGTTCAGGAAGGACTGAATTCCAAACTAGGTCTTAAATAATTTTTATTTTTAATATTGAAAATGATTGTTCTGTTATAGCGAAAGAAACTTGCATACTTTCAGGTTCCTTGCTGTAGCTCCCACATATGTAAGCTTAACATACATATGTCGGAGTATATTAAAAATCATACAATTTTATATATTCAGAAATGATAAACAAAAAAAAAATTGTTTCACCTTTCTGGGAGTATACTCTATCTCTTTAGAAGATCATTTTCAATAGAAATGCATAGTTAACAGAATGCATAATGCTGGACTTGTTTTCAGAAATGAATGATTCAAATTGTTACTAATATAGGTATGCCTTGCTTAATGAAGTAGATACAACAAATTAAAATCCTAGAATACAAGAAATATCATTATTGGAAGTAGAAATAATATAAAGTATAGTATGGATAGGTTTCTCCTCTTAAAGTGTTTCGAGAAATAGGTATAAATTTATTTAAAATGAAATCATACATATTATATTATCATCTATTTTTAATATTTATAAAAACTTTCCAAGACAATTAAAACATTAAACATCTCAAATTTACTATTAATTAATACAGAAAATTTTAAATGAGTACTAGTATTGTTCTTTAAAAATGCATTTAAGGGTGACTGTCTCACTTTTTTCTTATGATTTAACCTGTTATAGTGAGATACATAGTATCTCAATATAACAGGTTAAAGCATTTAAAGCTGATCTCTTTACATTGCAACTTCATTCAAAACCAGGATTGTTTTCAAATAACATTTCTAAGGCACGAGTCACTTCATTTTAACAATTGGGTAAAGTCTCTGCTGCTAATATCATCTCTGGAAACTTCTCTCCCTTTTTTTTTAATCTGTTTGTAATACTATGCTAACTGTTGTTTATTTGTCAATGTTTCACCATGATTCCTCAAAATCAGATATGTTAACTTCTATAAAGTCTATTGCCTATGCCATTTCAACAATAATTGTTAATTTGCAGGAATTTTATATTCTATTTTATTATGTTTGATACTTTAACATCAACCAGCTACACTTGTTACCAGACGCTATTAAGAATATGATGTACTGTACCACATCATCCTCAGACTTCTTTGATATTGATGATTGCTTTGCTTTTCTAATGTTATAATTTTTTCAGAAAATTTTTATATATATTTGTTGCTTATCATTAATCTCAATCAACTGAGTAAAAGTGCGCCTAAGGTGATAAGCTTTAAATTTAAGGCTGCTATTTTGCCTTGATTAAGCTATGCCTAAATGACTGGTAAATAGTGCTGTGCATCAGTCGAAACATATTTTTTCCATCTTTTCTACAGTTCTATTATGTATACATGTTAATTTACATGTAGTAAGGTCATTAAAATTTTTTATAGTCTGATTAACTTTATCTGCTTGATTTAAAATTGTTTTTAGTGCTGTGTTAACCTTAATGTTCTACTATGTGCCATTTTTTTTAAGCTTCTATTTGTTTTTTATTCTCCATTTTAATTTCTAAAGCTACTAATTTATGTTTTTGAGACAGTATATAAATTATATTTTATATACAAATGTTTGTCTGGTCTATATCAAAATCAGGTAATCTGCTAGATTATATTAGTCTATAATATGTCTACTACTATTAATAATTATATATCCAGTAATTTTGCCACTACTCTATATTAAACTTATAAAACAAATTTATAATTTTTGAGAAATAAGACATTGGCTAAAACAGTTTAAATCATTATTTTAAGATTTTAATGAATTCAAAATATCCAAATTTGACTTAAAAATATACTAGTTTAATTTTAATGATTTAAAGTAATGTATTAAACTTCTGTCAAAAAACTACATGCATGATCATTTTGTTGTAATGTTCTAACTCTATTGATCTGTCACATGCTATTTTTTAATGTAGAGTTGGTATCTTTATAATCAATCTGGTAAATTAATGTATTCAGAGCCATGCCAAACACTGAGTGTCCTCATGCTTTTTTAAATGAGACAAAAATTGATGACAAAAATGAAAATTGACATCACAAATAAAAATGTAATATATATACAGTATTTTTATTAAAAAAATATTTATTAATATAAAATAAATCTTATTTTAGAAAGCTTGAAACCATTTTCATAATTTCCAACATCTCTATTTAAGGAAGACAAATTTTTAATCTTATTGAGAAATGTTGTTTATTATTCTATAGCCATTTTCCATTTTGACACACCATAGTCATATTCACACTTTTTAAGTAAACTATGAATTTACATACACAGAATAAAGGAAAATAATAATAATAATTAACAAATTTATTTAATTTAACAAACTTAAGTTTACATGCCATATTTTTTCAAATTGATTTATTAGTACTTCAATGTTGTTCACTCCATAAAATTCTATTTAGATTGACATGCAATTGATTTAGATACAATGATTATACCATAATTTTCTGTGCAATTTACATAATTCACATCAGTGTATGTCTCACAGAAAAATTTCTAAAACAAAAATTAAACTATCACACAGCTTGCATTGCTATACATCCCATGCCTACAAGATTGCCATTGAAAACATGTCACTTGTATGTGGTTTAGAAGATATCATTTCAGCTGTTTTTCTCCTCCCTCTTTTTCTTATATTTCCACTAGTACTTCATTGTAGATGTATTCATACTTTTCTACACTGGAAAAAGTNAGCATATGTACTGTACTTTGCATAATCCCTGTACTTCAAGAATTTTAATAATGTAAACAGTTGCAAAGAAGGCCATTGATTCAATGTGTCTTCAGACAAATAATTGCTTGATTTGAGGAAATCATATGATACATGATTGTCAGTTTGTGGAATGAGACCAGGAAGAGTATATAAACTAATTTATCCATAACAGACTGAAGATTAATTCATGCTGTTATGAAGTAGATAACATATAAAGTCCAGTATGATTATGGATAATTCCAGCAAAGCCCAAGCAGTATGAAGACACTTGGATATGCCTTTTCGAACCACAAGTAACATTCTCTGCATAATTTGTTGCATTTTGTGCTTAAATGGAGGTGGAATCCTGGTTGTGGAAGATGTGATGGGACTTTATCTATACCTAAAAAGAATTGTGAATATTTAGCAGTCACATTTTAGCTAAGAAAAATCTTCATGTAACCCAAAAAATGTCTTTATACTTACTGAAACTTATTATATTGAGTAGATTTACAGAAAAATTTCTCATCAATCTAAAGAAAATTATCAAACAAGACTTTAACCTGTTTTTCTCAGCATTTGATGAACAATGTTAATCATTATATAACTTTATCATGATCAAAAATGATCAAAATAGATTGATTTTGATCATTTTTATACATAGTGGAGTATAAAAAATCTCATATCCATTGATCTGTATAGTAACTGTTGCAACAATATGTTACTGAGGACAGAGAAATCACTCATTTCTGATAGGATGGCTACTTTGTGTGTCTTATCTTTGTGACTTTTGGGAGAACACTTCAAAAGCATGACTTTTCAAGGTTATATTTCTATCCTTGAAAAATTACTAACAATATTGCTAGTAAAAAGTTACAGTACAGATGAGTTCTTTCATATTACTGAGCACACTGATTTTTGAATACAGTTTTTAAACATGTAAATTTGCAAGTTTGCTGATAAGAGCCTGATTACTCAGATATTCAACTTAAGAATGAGTGACAATGATGTTAAGTATGCTTGAGTCAAAAGTGAAGTAG